GGGGGGGGGGGGGGGGGGGGGGGTTAAAAATCTTGGTCCCCCCTTGGAGAGGACGGGGGGCCCCCAACTTTTTTTTTAAAATGGCAACCCGTATCTTGTGATGCCTCATTTGAAAGAGCATAAAAAACTGGTCGGATGATCGCGCGACCAGGGCCGGATTTACATTTTTAGCGCCCTAGGCTAAACTTAAGGTGGCGCCCCTAAAAGTAGGCGCTCTCGTGGGGGGCGGGGGGGTGGTCCCCCAGACGCCCCTCCCCTCCAGATCAGAAGAAGGATGTTAGGAGTCCGGAAAATGTTCAAATTCACCTTTAAAAAAACACCTTTGTCAACCACAGTTTGTAGAATCTGTGTCCCAATATACCATAGACTTACGGCCAGCTGTAAGATTTCCAATAGCTTCTATAGCCGGATAGCCGGCAACACAATTTCTCATAGCCTTTTATAGCCGATGGCGACTAAGCGACAGCCTGGCGATAAGTGTATGCTAAACGTTACTAATTATACGGATGCTAGGACTTAGTGAATTTTTGGACTACCGCTCTCTTTTTGGGCCGTAGTATCTTGATTTATTTTGCGAGGAAAGCTCCGTACTTTTGATGGATGCCTGCCATTCCTAACATGTTGGAGCGCCTGCAATTTTGTATGATACTGTTCAATACCTCTGGTGTGAAATAGTTGCTTCAAGCGCCGTGGTGCGCTGCGGCGCCGCGCGGCGGGCGGGCAGCCAGCGCGAAACGCGAATTGGCGCCTTCAAACCTAACAGGAAAACTTCACACATTGCGCAATGCGTGAAGTATCCCTGTTAGATTTGAAGGCGCCAGTGCGCCGCCACTCCGCTTTGTGTTAGGCTCTAATATTTAAGCTCGTGGAGTCAGCGTTTTTCAACTCATAACTTTGAAATGTTTGCACACTCAGTATGGATTATTCTCATTTTAATTGATGAAAAAAAATATGTAGTACCTAAAGGAAAATATAATGTGTGTTTTGTGATTATTAAGGTGATTCCGTACAAACTTAAGGTTTCACAGTGGGTTTTATCTAAATCTAATTAAGAAAATGAAAGTCCTCATGTCTGAAAGCGGAAAAGTACAGCGAAACACCTCAGGAAAACATCCCCGCTGAAAAGAAAATCATTCGTTGGGCCGTTTTTTTTTTTTGCCCCCCCAAAGCCAAAATGGCGGCCGATATGCGCCGCCGCGGGGTGCAAATGTCACAACACCCTCAAAATGTCAAGTGACACATCGATTCCTAAGTAATCTTGGTCTTAAAATCCGAATATGAGTTCAGAAATCCCTTACGAATAAAAGGAATCGCGAAAATTCAAGATGGCGGCCAAAAATAGGCCCCGGAGTAAAAATTCTCAATTCCAGCTTTTGGTGACGAGTGAGATGTCATTTTCTATGTTTTTTGGGTCATAGGATCCAAATTTGCGGTCAAAAATTCCCTTCTGGCCGACAGGGATCCTTCAAATCCAAAATGGCTTCCATTTTGGGGCTGACATATTATTTCCGAAAGACGCGTATAGTCGAGTGAGGTGTCTTTTTACATGTTTTTTGGACCACATGATCAGAGACTGGGATCCAAACTGTGTCCCTGTGCGCCGGAAGGTAAGATTTGTCCCTTAGCACCTTGATTGTAACGTTTTTATCAACTA